TTTTTTTTTTTTTTTTTTTTTTTTTTTTTTTTTTTTTATGCCTGCTATGTGTTTGAAGAAATGCCTCACAGAAGCTGCCTGCGATTGCGAAGTCATTCTTTAAATGGTTTAATTCTGTATTGAAATTTTTGTGATTTGCATGATCTTGTGTATTCTCGATCTAGTGGAAAGTAGATTAGTTTAATGAATTCTAAAGGACGAAGCCATGTCAGTTGCAAATAAGCTGAAAATATTGGGTGGGGGACAATTACTTGTGGTAGTATTTTTCATGATTGTCGCCAGAACATAGCTAAGTGGAAAAGGTCACCAATTAACCTCTCAAAGCTTGATGTTTTGATACTCACTCTGTTATTTTTTAACTAAAAACAAAATCTCCATGCCTCATTGCAAGTCACTGGAAACCCGAATTGACTTGAAATTTAAAAGCCATTGGCCTATGGCGATTCGAGTAGATCAGGTTTTTAAGTATATTCTCTAACCTATGAATTGTGTTGGCAGCCATTTGTAAAGGTCATCTGCTCTTCTTCATTTCTGGTATCTCTCTGTCAGCTGTGATCATTGTAAGGTGAAAATACTTAGAAAAAGTAGTATATAATAAGGCAGTATCTGCAGAATATATTTCTGCTCTGTTAACACAAAGCCTTAGATGAACAATGTGCAAACTGTTGTCCACTGAATTCTCTGCCGGTTTTTATGTCCATTGAACCACATTTCTCCTGTTATTGGGATATCAAAAGCTCCAAATAAATCTACTAGCACAATTGGTTGTCCACTTTATTATAGGAGTCATGTAATAAGCCAAGCCCACCATTAGCAGATATTGTCATTTTTGGGTTTTTTCCTTTCGGGTTTCCCCTCAAGGTTTTTAAAACGTGTCTGCCTGAAGAGGTTTTCATACCCTTATAAAGAATGTTTCGTTCTCTTCCCTAACTGATGTGAGATCTCACAATCCACCCCCTTCGATTGGAGAGGGGAACGATTGCCAGCGAGAACGCTAGGCTTTGAAAGGGGTAGATTGTGAGATCCCAAATCGGCTGGGGAGGAGAATGAAACATTCTTTATAAGGGTGTGAAAATCACTCTTTAGCAAACATGTTTTAAAAACCTTAAGGGGAAGCCCGATAGAGAGAACCCAAAGAGACAATATCTGCGAGGGGTAGGCTTGGACTCTAGAGAATTCGTGCAATAGGTGATGCTAAGTGACACAATCGCGCTTTCGAAGGCAGCGGACTAGCGATTGCTGCCTTCGAAAGCGCGATTGTGTCACTAAGCTCAATGGTTTCAGTAGGCCTAGGCTTATGAGGCAGTCTAAACACACTCTAAATATATGTACAGCTTCTTAACCTTAAATTCCACGAACTTTAAGTTATAAGCCAAAACACACTGCACTAAATTGATTTGAAACTGTAAGCATAATATACAATCATGTGATGCAGGAAGGCAGGTGGCTTGCTTTATGGAAATGATGGGTGGACTCATAAGATGATTCATGAAGAAGTAAGTAACTTGAGGAACTTCCATTGCCAATGCTGTGCTTGAAGAGAGCCTAATTAAAGCTGAGGTATGGGAGTGAAGGTTAAAAGAAAAATAGAAATCATTGAAAGTTGCTGCTGCTCTTATGGTGTTGAGTATCATATTTTTATACATCTATTATTGTCCTCTCTTTCAAAAGAGATAACCTTCATCAAAGTTTGTACACTTTGCTTCCTTTTGAGTACAAATCTTGACTTCTGGAAACCCATTCAAATTCAAACCAAGAAATTTTCCCTCCAATTATTTTTAGTTTTGAACTTTAGGAAGCCGATTTGACGAACAAATGTTACGAGTCCAAATCACTTCAACTTTGGTTTGGACTCGTAATGGTGCGGTTCAAGGTAAGGTCAGACACTTCTTATTGTAGTGGATTGAGGAGTTTTCGTGAGGTTCAAGTCTTGAATTTTCAATTTATATCTAATAAGTCTTTTAGTTCTTCGATATAGAGTTTCATTAGATATAAAATCTTCGAATATATGAAACACCTATTAGATATAAATTCAAAGTTCATAGACATATTTGACCAATTTTAAATTAAAAAAATCAGAACTAAACTCTGGTCCAAGAGGATGATCAACAACACTAGGACTGAGACACGGCCCAAACTCCTACGGGAAGCAGCAGTGGAAAATTTTCCACAATGGGCAAAAGCGTGATGGAGCAATGCCACGTGGAGGTAGAAGGCCTACGGGTCGTGAAATTCTTTTCCCGGAGAAGAAGCAATGACGGTATCTAGAGAATTAGTATCAGCTAACTTTGTGCCAGAAGCCACAGTAATACAGAGAATGCAAGCGTTATCTAGAATGATTGGGCGTAAAGCGTATGTATGTGGCTTTTTAAGTCCGCCGTCAAATCTCAATACTTAACCCTAGATAGGGTCATTTAACCCAAATATGTGGCTTTTTAAGTCCGCCGTCAAATCTCAATACTTAACCCTAGATAGGGTCATTTAACCCAAAAACAACAAATACAGAAAGGGCTAAAAAGGAAATTAAATTATAAACCTCAAAAAAAAAAAACAATTCATTGCTTTTAAAAAATGTACAAACAATGACAAAAGCAAAGCAACACGGAAAAAGGGTTAGGGTTAGTTTGAAAACTTTTGGAATCTTTTCCAATGTAAATGATATTTTATAGGCATAATTTATTTCTAATTTTATATAAAAAAATCAAATATATTAAATATTAAAGGTCACCTACATACATTATTATAATTAATGAAGATATATATATATATATATATATATATATATATATATATA